GGGTGTAAATGAGTCGAACACGAGCGAGCCCAGGCTCAGCTGGTGGGCGAGCCCAGGCTCAGCTCGTGTTCGGCTCATTTATATTTCGAGCTCAAAAAGTGTGTTCGTGTTCGGCTCGTTTGCTTAGCGAGCAGAACACGAGACGTTTACGAACAAATAGTCATTTTGACAACCCTAATCACGTAGTCATAAGAATTTAAGGAATTGGGCAAGGTTTAAAACATCATTTGAATCTAAATTAATATTTTTTTCTATTTTCTTCATTAATACTTTTAATTGATTATTAATCTTTGTAGTCTTGTATTCAATTAATTTTTTTTAGAAATACTACTCATTAAAGATATATATAGAATTGATTAGTAGTATTATTCGATCCAAAATGAGACGAACACTAACGAACAAATATTTGTTCATGTTGTTCGTGTTCGGCTCGTTAACTTTACGAACGAGCTGTTCGCGAACAACGGGTCGTTTTGACAGCCCTACTCATGCGGGCTTTGAATAATGAAAATAAGCTCAGCCCAATTTTGAGCTCAATTTATATTAACTTTTCATAACCAGACACACCCACTAAGTGGGTATGGCTAGCCCCCAGCCCACAAAGCTTTAAAAAAAAGTCATACGCCATAATGTTTAAAAAAAATTCATACGCCATAATGTTTAAGAAATAGAACAAAAACATTAACATGACCACACTACTAGACCAAATTTTACTATTTACATTTTATTTAAAGATGAATAAATAAATGTCGACCAACAATAAAATTTATGGCACTAAATATGCTTAACTAGCAAATTCTCAGGTTGTGACACTGTGAAGCTAAGTTTGGATATCATCAACATGTCTATGAACGACATAATTGAAGAACATAGCATTATGATTTAACAAAATATTGACTAAAATCAACACGAATGAAGAACATGATATTCTATCGACATCAAATTTGTCACTATGCATAATAACATTAAACTTCAAATTTTACTTTAATGATTTATGAAATCAAAATTAAAAACACAATGATGAAAAATTAAATGAATAACTAGAACTATGATTCCACTTTGATTTCGTCAATCAAATGGTCAAGAAAATTAATAAAATGAGATGCAATTATATAATACTCGTTATGTACATAATTTTATAAAAAACAATTAAATAAATAGTGATTGAATACTGGCAAAAAAGTTCCAGCACGTTACTAATCCTCATAACACGCCAATGCTTGAATCTTCATTGAGTTTAGTGTGCATTGTGTTGGATTGATTATTTTTTCACCCATATTGAAAGATTGACTCGTAAGCTATAGTCGATACATGAATTAAGAAAATATTCCTATCTATGGATGTTATTTCAAGTAATGTTGTTGTGGACTTGCTTTAATAATCTAAAATATCATATCTAAGTATCCATGTAACATTGGCTCTACCACATAAAGATCAAGTTGTGGCTTTCTTGTGCTCTCTCTTCACTTTCTCATTATGTATTATTTAAATGTAATAGTTGGAGCAATGCAAAGTTTGAATAAATCATTCATATGACCAACTTATGCTGAATATTATTGACATTGGTTGTTCTTTTAATGCTCAAACAAACAACAAAGCAAATCCCTTATTTTCTATACATGAAAATACTTATTATCTTCATAAAAGTTAGATTATAAAACTTCAAATAATCAAGCTTCTATCTTGGAAACAAAACAACAGCATAATAGAGCTATAAATTATTCAAACCAATACTTATTAAATTTTGCTCAAACTTATAACCATATATGTTATGGAAATGTAGAGGCCATGCAATATAGTTCAACAAATTGATTTGAATTTTCCGAACAATGTGAAAATAAATATTTATTATATGAGTTTTGGTGGCTCAAAATAAGCATTCAACCTCATAAAAGACTTGAAGAAAAGTACACAAGCTCTCCAATTTTTGTCATTCTATGTTTATGACCTTTAAAAATTTATAATTGTTATCATGTTTGTACATAAAAAATATGATTGCACATATATTGAGGAAATTCAACGGATTTCATTGAGTAGAAACCATAGAATTGCATCAAGAGTCAAAAGATGAAGACGTCAAGTGTTATTCTCATCGGTAAGAACCACGTGTCAACCAAACGAAAGAACGGAAGGCAACTAATCCGAGGGGCAGTTAGCTACAACCAGCTTTCTCAAATGATTTCGGGATTGTAAGATTGTAGTGATACACTATCTGTATGTTGATCCAATTTCAACTTAACGATAAGAGGGCCTTTACTGAGAATTCTCTCGTGGAGGCTGATCAAAAACCTTCTGGCCGATCGAAGAACTAAAAATTTGAATGTTTGCTCAGTTGGAATGACTGCGCAAACGACCAAGCACAC